CTCCTAAGTAATTTTGAAGAAATAATACCTGAAAAAAAAATGTTAATAATTTTTAGACTAACAAAGTTTCAACATCTAGACGTAAATAGATTCTTTTACTAACATCATCACTCAAAAATTATAGAATTTATAGAATAGAGAGAAATCAGTGTCAACAGTTCCTTGATTAAATTGAGCCTTGGCCCCTATAGCCCATGCCAATTTAAGTATCAACATTATCTCATGTACTAGTGCCAGGAAGAAATTTTAACAGTGAAGCAGATATAATGAAAGAAACATGAATCAACATCAAGTGAAAAGCTCAAATTTTATTCAAATATATGTCTGCTCTATACATAAATAAAAAAACCCAAACTTCCAATGAAACTTAAAAATACATGTAATTTTAAAACAGCAGCAGTTGACCTAACATGAAATTAAATTAATATAAGAAAATACAAATATTTATAAACATGAAATTAAAACGATGAATAAAGATTTTCCTAAGTAGTTTTAAAAAGTTGTTTTGTAAGAACATTTATTCTACTCAAAAATATTTATGTGACCGATAAATCACAAGCCCTTACAACAGTGTTTAGCGCTTAGCAGATACTCAGAAAATATTGGCTAATTGAATGAACTGCAACTTAGTTTTATTTTTGTCACCTACTAGCAATTCATTGTTCACTGCAATTAGTTTTGCCCCATCTTTCTCCTTCTTGAATGAATTCAGTTCGGCACATTTATTTTTTTCTTCCTTCTCCCCACTCCATTTATTTCATACGATATGCTAATATTCTTAATCTCAGTGATTCCCTCCTCAATTTCCTGTTAGAATTCCATTAATGAAGAAGTTAACAAATACAACTTCATTGTCAATGAATAAGGATTTCTTCTTGTGGTGTTCTATAAATGTCTTTTGATTATTTAGGGGAAAAAATATTCCCCAAATGAAAAGAGTTTGTGACATAGAAACTCAAAACACAGAAATAAAAACAACACTGACTGTTTGTGTTCTCTTCAGGACACATTATCATGCTCCTCATGGCCAACCTCTCCAGGCTTGAGATGGGAAAAGCGATGGTGCGACCTCAGACTGATCCCTCTACTTCATTCCCGCTTCTCTCAGTACGTGCCTGGGACGGATTTGAGTCGGTGAGTTCGTGTTAGTGAGTTCTGATTTTCTGTTGATTGAAAATGAGACTCGTAGTCAAACTTTTAACATAAAATGCCTTATGATTCTTATTTTCAGCACATCTAACAGAAGGAACAAGAACTAAAAGAATAGTATAATAACAATAAAACATTCATGATTCTGGTGATAAAAAACATAAGTTAGAACGCTGACTCTACTACTAACTTATTGTCAACAAATTCAGTATCTTTAATAGACATAGTTTTATTGGGTTTTTGTATTTCTTCTTGTGCTAGTTTTAGTTTTTTTTTTTCTCAAGGAAATTGTATAGTTCATTTAAATAGTAAAACCTATTTTCAAGCAGTTTATAATCTCATATTATTATGTTTTGAAATAAATGTAGGATTACTAGTGATATCCCCCTTTTCATACTTGAAATTTGTTTTTTCTCTTTTTCTCTTGGTCCATTTTGCTAGGGAGTTGTACATTTTATTAATTTATTTTTTTAAAGGTCTAATTTTTAATTAATTTTTTTTAAAAGGACTAATTTTGGGCTTTGTTGCAGCTCTGCACTATGTGTATACATTGTAAATCATGAGTTTCTGTTCCTTTCTTGTCTCCATTCCTTAAATTCTTTGACTTGATTTTTTGTTCTTATAGTTTCTTGAGGTGGAAGTTTTGGGGTCAAGAAACACTTTTGTAAAAAGTAGTATAGTAAATGTTTTAGGCCCTAATGTCTTTGTCACAACTATTGGACTCTGCCTTTGCATCATGAAAACAGCCACAGAAAATAAATAAATGAATGGGCATGACTCTGTTCCAATAAAACTTTATTAACAATAACAGGTGGCAGGCTAGATTTGGCTTGTAGGCCGTAGTTTGCCAAGCTCTGGTTTAATCATTAATTTTTCATACTTTCTTCCCTAATCCATGTAGTCAGAGCTACACATTTCCATCAAAGTCTACTTTAGCTATACTCACAAATTTTAGGATTACATCTTGGTTTATTTATAGTGTTTTTGAGTATATCATTTTGTGTGGTTTTCTGAGTGGTTGCTCTAGGTACTACAATATACATATATACACCTTATCTCACTACTGGTATTGACAATGTACCACTTTGAATGAAACATACAAATATCACTTCCGTTTAGGTCCCTTTATGATCTCCACTTTGTAAGTATAATTATCTTAATTTCCTATGCATACATCAAGCACCATATCAGGTGGTATTATGATTTTTGCTTCAGTCATCAAAAATGATTTTAAAAACTCATGGAAAGAAGGATAATCTATTATATTTAACCCAATGTTTGCCCACTCCAATATTCTTCTTCCTTTCTGAAGTTCCAAGCCTTCAGTTAACATTTCCTTTATATTTAGAGAAATTTTTTTAGCCATTCTTTAAAGGTGGATTTGCTAGCATCGAATTCTCTTAGTTTTCCTTTGTCTGAGAGTATCATTATTTTACTCTCGTTCCTAAGGATAGTTTCCCTGGATAGAGAATTTGGAGTTGAAAATTCTTTTCTTTCAGTACCTGAAAAATATTGTGCTGAAGGCTTTGGGCCTCCATGGTCATTCAAATTCATGTTCCCCTATATATGATATGTTCTTTCTCTCTTGCTGCTTTCGTGTTTTTTTTTTCCTTAGTTTTCAGAAGTTCAATTATGATGTATCTTGGTATATATTTTTGGGGGGTTTATTACATTTGGGATTCACTCAGCTTCTTAAACCTGTACATTTATGACTTTCACCAAATTATGGAATTTTTTGACCATTATTTCTTCAAATACTTTGTCAGGCCCACTCTGTCTTCTCTCCTTCTGGCACTTTGTTAATATAAATGTTACCTCTTTTATTGTTGTTTCACAGA